TGGAGTGTGACTCATGCAGAGGACAATACATCAAGTAACTGCTATGGTGTGGAAGCAGCCAAGGAGCAAAACCCCCCAGCCCACGACAAAAACATTTATCCTACTGCAATGCAATCAAGCACTGGGATCTTTCCTTTCAACACATCCCCGCCAGAGAGAGAAAACTTTACAACACTGGTCAAGTGATTTCCAGGCCACAGCCAGCAAGTTTTCAAGGAAATGTAGAGAAATGGGGGAAGCAACGTGTAAGTCAGCAACTGCAGTTTAGCTACTCAGTTAGTGCAAGGACTACTAGACGCTGTGCTTTCTGAATGCTATGTACCACAGCTGTTATCCAAGGAGTATCACAACAATAATGTTAACAGGAGCAAGGATCTTTACTTTATCTGGGCCATGCCATAAGGAGGAACAAACGGATTCCCTTCATACAAGGCATCCCACCAAGGTCCGGCATTTCTCCCAGCAGAAACAGGAAGGCATAGCCTTTTCCTTACACATAGTATGGACACAAGTCAGAATAAGGTACAGGAAAGCAGGCGCACAGGCACCTGTTATTAACATGAAGACAGAAACAGAAGATGAATTTAAGTCAAAGTGAAGAGGCTGCCCACTTTTCATTGCTGGTCATTTGCAGACAACACAAAAATTGGTGGATGGGTAAACAATCACTCATCTGGCTTGGTAAAATAGACTCATTTGAACTACAGGTCTGATCAGACTGAACCTTTAGGCCTGACCCAGACCTAAGTCCACCCCGACCCAACCAGGTCACATCATTTTTCAAACCAACTCCAAACCCTTCCCATCCTCCCTGAATCTGAGTTGCCACCGCTGCTGCCTCCTGCCCATGGGGTCAGCAGGGTAGCATACACTGACAGTTTCACACACACTGCTCCTGTCATTCGCTGCCCCCTGCTACACTGCATATGTGCAGAGGCATACTCGCTCCACACCATGCACCTATGCAGCGGGGGGCAATGGACATCAGAAGCAGGGCATACAGCTGTCAGCCATTGCCATGCAGACCCCATGGGCAGGAGAAGGGGAGTCGACCTGATCTGACCTGATGTTGAGAGGGTCTGGTTCTTTTCCCAGCCAACCCAGACCCGACACTTGTAGTCAGGGTCCCACTCGGGTTCAGGTCAGGTCACAGGGCTCTAATCTGAACAAAAGATATTTCAATACCACCAAATGCAAGGTCATATGTCTCGGAACAAAGAATGCGGGTCACCCTTACGAGACAGGGGACTGTATCCTGGAATGCAGGAACACTGAAAAGGACTTTGGAGTAAAAGTACCAGTTAAACATGAGTTCCCAGTGCAATGCTGTAGCTAAGAGGGTTAAATGCAATATTTGAATGTCAGAGGGGTAGCCGTGTTAGTCTGAATCTGTAAAAAGCAACAGAGGGTCCTGTTAGTCTTAAAGGTGCCACAGGACCCTCTGTTGCATATTTGAATGTATAAGCAGGGGAATATCAAGTAGGAGTAGGGAGATGGTATGACCTCTTTGTACTGTATTAGTGAGACCATTACGGGAATACCGTGTCCAGTTCTGGTGTCCACACTTCATAAAGAATGTTGGAAAATTAGAAAGTGTTCAGAAAAGAGCTACAAGAACAATATGAAGTCTAGAAAATATGCCTTACAGTGAGAGACTTACAAAGCTCAATCTATTCAGTTTATCCAAGAGAAGAATTAGAGGTGACTTGATTATGTTCTACAAGTACCTACATGGGGAAGAGATTTCTGATGATAGAGCACTTTAAAATCTAGCAGATAAAGGCATAACAAAATCCAGTGGCTGGAAGCTGAAGCCAGACAAATTCAGACTAGAAATAAGGTGAGAATTTTGACCATGAGAGTAATTAATCATTAGAACAACTGACGTAGGGACGTTTGAAGACTTGAAATCATGACTGGATGTCTTACTAAAGCTTCTGTTCTGGCTCAAACAGAAGTTATGGGCTTGATGCAGAGATTACTAGGTGTAATGGCCTTCGTTATGCAGGAAGTCAGACTGGAGATGACCATATTGGTCCCTTCGTGCCTTAAAAATCTATCCACTATACAGCACCGCCAACTCGTTTCTCATAAGTGATCAGACAACTAGCCTCTCGAGCACTACCAACCTTAGCTAGACTTGAACCAGACACCTAGATGTGAAAAGGCTAATCATTATCTCATTTTTCAAAGAGAGCAGATGCCCATGAAGACAATTGTTTACAAGCTGAACAGAGTCTGAAGCATGGTTTTCCCAGAGACCGAGTTACACTTCACACACACAATTACCAGTTCTAAATTCAGGGCTAAACAGCCTAGAAATCTCTATCCAGTATAAAGCATACACCCCTATCCAGTATAAAGCATGTAATTTACCTGGGCATGAACATGAATCTAGACCTCTGAAAGCAGGAAAAGCCTAATCAGCAACCACTGTTCCAACACCCACACCTCTGCTTCCTGGGTAAACTGCTTTCCTGCTGCTTCTGAGAATCTCATTACCTTCTACAGAGATGACAAGTGACCACTGCAATCAGTTTTTTTAAATATTAAAAACAGGCCACATCAAAGAAAGGTTTTGAAGTGAGGCACAATTGTCTAGTAATCCTAAATTGTTTGCATCTATTTAATGATAACGGTAATGTATAGTCATGCATCCAACTAACAGGATTCATACTGACTGTTCCTAGAGGACTGCATGAGGCAGAAAGTGATATGCGATGTCTGAGAGCCTTCTGCACTTAAATACAGGTACTGTAGTAACTACGACAACTAAAAAGCAAATGTTAAAAACTATCTTAAAGAGCCTTTTTGCTATGGGCCTTTTGAACCGAGTGTGGCATGCACAATAAAACCTTCAACGATTATCCAACAAAGGAACGCACACAGAGTAGTTAAATGCCATGAGTTACTGGCCTCGGGAGTGAATACCTCTGTTATGCATCAACATGTGTCTATGCAGGCCAGTCAGATCTCGTTTTTCTCTATGCTGATTTCTGAACTGTAATCACTATGGTACTCTTTCTAGGTGCCACATGTGTTAATCTGAAGTTATTTTTATCAAAAAACACAAATGGAAATTGTATATAGACTAGAAGTGAACAGACAGGAGTACACACAGTGAACAGGAACCCCTTAGAAGGGAAAGCCTGCCTGCAGGTAATCTACACCAGAGACTGAGTACCTCACAGGGTTCTCCTCTCCCGCACTGCACTTGATTGCTTCTCATTTAGAGGTAAAAGCAAGTTAGAAGTTGAATCACCAGGGCTGCCACATTTCTGCAAGGCCTTCAAAAATTACCCCACTTGAAGGCTCATTGGAGGCACAAACCCTGTTTCAAAAGGACTGCAGAGATCCTGTTTCCTTTCCGAAGTACCAGGTTCATGTTCTCTCTCTCACCTCAGGACTCAAGAGTTTGACACTGTTAGTAACAGCCAGTTTTAAAACCAAGTAAAATTATTGGTTACTAACACAAGTGAAATTTACCATAACAGTATTAAAATTAACAAACACCCACACACACTACTCAGCACTCATAAATCAGCCATTCCTCCGTTTATTCCAGGGACCCTTA